CTCTGAGCGCTGCGCCGCGCCAAAACCGCTGCCCCCCGAGCGCCGCCCAAAGCCCCGCCCCCTCTGAGCGCTGTGCCATCTGAAGCCCCAGCCCCCCCGAGCGCCACGCCGCTGAAACAAACCCCCCCTCCAGTGCTGCCCCGACGAACCAATAAATAAATAAATAAATAAAGACCCGAGCGCTGCCCCGCCCCAAGGTGCCGCCCCAAGCACATGCTTGGCCGGCTGGTGCCTGGAGCTGGCCCTGCTTAGAAAGGGCCCTCTTAAAAACTAAGGGCTGTCTCATAGAGCAGAAACTTGCATCCTGTGAGGCCCACAGCTAAGATGGATTTCTTGTTTTATGAGGGGCTCTCCAAAAATCAGATCCAAAATGATTATGGATCTATGGAGCATGCCTTCTCTGAGTGCATTTATCAACTCTCCGATGCAATGGTTGCTATTACAACCATCTCCGATAGCTGTCTGTCCTTAGGCCAGACCATAGCTGTGGTATCTGTGGTTAACCATGCCTAGTTTTAGGTAGAAATACTGAAGAGAAGGAGCAGTTAACACATCCTCCTGGCCATGGCTTTAAGCAGTTTTTCCCTTTCCTTTTTATAAACCTAATTCCTGACATTGGGGAAGGAGTGAAAACAGAGGAAGGGTCATAGGCTGAAGGACGGAAAAGAGACAAGATTTTTCTTGGGGTGTGGGGAGGCGGGGAGAGGGAAGACTGAGGAGATGGGCTGCACTCAAGAATAGTTGTGCTGGGTACATAGTTATGTAGGACCTTGGAGCTGAGTGGGCTGGGTTCATGGTGGGTTGTCTTGCTCAGAAAACAGTTCAGACTACTGCAGAGAATAGGAACTCTGACGCTGCATGGCAGAGTGCTGTGGAACAGGCTGGGAAAGAGACGAGTCAAGCAGTCTGGCTTCCCAACAGGTCAACTTATTCAGGAAGCAGGTCACTGCTGGAGAGGCTAGGAATCCTGAGGCTGCATGGCAGAGCAATGTGGAACTGCCTCGGGGTGGGGGCAGGAAGGGAAGGAGCCTATCTCAAATACTCCACAATCTGTCTTGCTCTGCACCACCCATGGGAGCTACAGAAATGCTCTCTGCTGCCTCAACAGTAGAGAGGTTGGGTCCAAACCAGCTCCTGGGACACTTTTAAAAAATAGCAGCAATTTATGTACCTTCTCTCCCTCTTCTCAAGAACTGGTGACTAGGAACTGCACTCAAAAGGCAGCTGTTGTTGTTTTTTATGTTTATTTATATGTTTGTTATGGTAGGGATAACCTAGAATGTGCTAGGCACTGTACAAATAGGGAGTAGCAGACAGTCCCTGCCCAGAAGAGCGTACAATCTAAATAGACAAGAAAGATGCAGGCTTAGGGGAGGGGTATGAGACTCGAGCCCAGTGAACGATATGACAACAAACATTGTGTTAGTTCCATGATATTTTTGGGGGGAGGGGTTAGTTAGAAGGGGATCAGCTAAATGGGAAGGGAAGGGAAGCAGGGTGAGGCGGTTAGGGGAGGGGAGAAGAGAGGTAAATGTTGAGTGAAGCTTAGGTGAAGAGACAGATCAGAGAGGGAGGGTTGGAACAAACAAATGAGCACATGGCAGAGAAAGTCAGAACTTTCTTCAGTTTTGACTGAAATGTCCTGAGGAGAAAAAGGTCCCTGCTTTGGCTGCTTCTGTTCTTATTGGCTGGAGTCTGTGGCTGGATCCTCTGCAGTTTTCCCCCATGGCCATGTGGAGGGGAGAGGCAAGGCACCACCTACCTGGGTCTTCATGACCCTAGAGTTTGTGGGGCAGGGTCTCCCCTACACAGTTCTGGGTCCAAGAGCATGCTGGAGGGCGGGGTGGCCCCAGCTGGTCCCCATTTTATCCCTTCCCCCACGATGTAGCAGTTCCTCCCCTTCTCCCCAGTCACCATTTCTTTTTAGGGGAGAGGAAGTAGGTTTTAAGGGTCATAAGTGTCTGTGTGTCATTGGCTGGCCCTTTAAGGAGAGTCAGGCACAGCTTTGCCTGTGGTGGACAGCTACCCCCACAAATGATCCTGATGTGGTGGGGATCAGATGGCTTGGTTCAATTATCAGACCCAGCTGGGGTGGAGTCAGATGATTTCCATAAAGGGCTGGGAGAGGTTAGTTAGGGAGAGGATCTACGGGAGGAAGGCTCCATTAAGGCTGATCCTGAAGAGATAAAGTGGCAGGAGAGAAGGAGGATCCGGTTGCAGGCCCCGGAGAGAGCCAGCACCCCAGGCACATGGCGTGGTGGAAGAGGGGAATAAGGGTCCAGTCTGTGGAGAACCAAAGTGGACAAAGGACTCCAGGGAGGAGGCCTAGAGGGTCAGCGGTTTGGGTAGATGCTAGGTTTCCAAGGACAAAGTCCTAAGGCTGAGCACTAGATGAGAAAGTGGGGTGGAAGGGTGGCCCATGAGGGAAGATGCTTTTTTGTGTTTCCTTTGGGACTATTGTTTGATTCTGATATCAAGACCCTGACAGTGGATGCTGAGATCAGGGAACACTGATGCATATTAACTTGAGAAGACAGACCCTGTGTAGAAGGGCTATAGCTAGCTAAGGACTAGAATATATGATGCTGTTTTGGAACCAGAACTGACCGGGGTCTCATACCAAACCAAGGAAGACTGAGGACCAGGAGGAAAACTGAGGTGGGAATGAGTGGTGCCATGGCAGGCCACAGAAGAGTGCTGTGGAAGCCGATTCTACCACACCATATATTGTCTAAATTGACATTCAGCTGCTACTACCAGGGCTCAGTATCCTCTCTGAAGCAGAAGTAGCCTCTGCATGGTATTATCAATGAGGCCTGTGTAACTTCTAAAGAACAGCAGCTGCATAAGCTGCTTTTTTGGGGGGTGGGTGGGATAGGTTCCTATTATAGTTACTGTACATTAATCACTTCAGCTTTCTAGGATGTACTTGCTGGTTGGCATACACAGGGGAAATTGTCAGTAGTGCTTATGCTGGGGCCTTCAGAGTGAGAGCTGTAACTTTCAGTACTCATGTTTCTTTCACCAACCCTTGAATTGCTGTATAATCAAACAGCCTAATCCTGCAAATACTTACTCATGTGAATAGTCCACATAAGGATAACTTACATGAGTAAAAGTTTGAAGAATCATGCCAAAAATATTTCCAACTGTCAGATCCAAAGCCTATTGCAGTCAGTGGAAAGGTTCCTGTTGATTTCACTGGGTTTTGAATCAGTCCTCTGTAGCAGAATGATAATGGTGGATAACATAAAGCCTACCAAGGTAAACTTCAGTATATCCTTTTGTAGGAAGGTTCGGGTGCATGGTGGATACTACATTCTGAAGTCATAAAAAATGGAAATGAAATCTGTGGCACAAAAACACCAACTCAACATGAGATTTTACTGGATGTCTACTTTGCAATACTGAATGGTAAGTTACGCACTAATAACCAAGTAAAAAATTAAACAGTATGAGATGGAAGATACCCACTCATTTAAGTTCATGTAATGCCCTATCAAATATCACATGTCTCTAGGCTTTTATAGGGCTGCCTGTCACTATAGTGTCTGGCCACCTGATAATAGTGTTAGTGAAAGGAACACTATAAGGAAGATCAGCCCCAAAGTGTAATGGCCTTTAAAAAATTTTTTTTTAAATAAGAGTCCAAAACTACTGATGTCTGTGCTGTTTCATGATTTTTAAATAAAAGCCATTAAAAGAGTTATCTGGTTGGATTTAAATACTTCCCTCCCTGCTAGCTCACTGTCCAGGTTTGGCAATGACGACGCCAGGGACCTGGTGTCTACTGTCTGCCATAGTCCTGCGTGAGGCACAGCGTGTGGGAAGCAAGCTTACTGGATAGCACAGCTTTGTGTGCCCCCATGTGGACTGTGGAAATCAAGGAAGGAATGGCATCCTCCCTCCAGATGTGCCACCTTGAGTGGTGAGCTCTGCACCCCCTATTTGGACAATGACTAGAACAATTTGGCTGTTAAACTGCAAAAATAATATCCCTGTTCTGCCACCTTTACTACCCATGTTGAATTGGACTTTGCTGTCTGAGTGCTCCCACTGACCTCAATAGGTCTAATTCTGTAGTTAACAAGGGTGTGCACAAGGGGGGGCAAGCAGGGGCATCCCCCCAAAAATCTGTCTCCCCACAGCCCGAGGAGGGAGGCAGCTGCAGGGCATCTGGCTGCTGCCTGAGTTTCTCCCCCCATCCCTATAATCTGCAGCCAGTTGCTTCTCCGTCCCTGTTGCTAGAGTCCAATGGGTTGCCTCTGCCTTCACCCCTTGACTCACCTCAGTGGGGGGTCTGCAGAGCAGACAGAAGCTCTGGGACTCCAGCAGCCGGGAAGGAGAAGCAGCAGCTGTAGGGATCCGGGAAGGAAGAGCTTAGTCAGCAGCCAGCCACCCTGCTGCTTCCTCCCACCCCAGACTGCAGGGACACAGGGAGTGCTGCTGCCCAGGGGAACCGCTGCCTCCTCGCTGCTGGGCATCCCTGACAGAGGCATCCCGAGAAATCGGGGGCGGGGAGGTGTCACGTGAACCTTTCATTTGTGTGTGTTTAACGTGCCCCTCCAAAAGCGGCCAAATTTAAATTCCTGTGCACACCCCTAGTAGTTAAGGTACAAAACTGTGGGGCCAGTGTTCCCTTTAATTTTTTACATCCATGTGTGGAATTAATTTTGTTATGTGCACCAATTTGGAGGTGATTTGTGACACATCACCTTCATATTGGTGCACATAACAAAATTCATGTACTGGGGGTGGGGCCGAGGGGCTTGGAGAGTAGGAGGGGTCTCAGGGCTGGGGCAGAGGGTTAGGGTTCGGGGGGATGAGGGTGCTGGCTGGGGGGGGAAAGCTCTGGGGTGGGGCTGGGGATGAGGAGTTTGGGCTGTGGGAGGGGGCTCAGGGCTGGGGCAGAGGGTTGGGGTGCAGGAGGATGAGGGCTCTGGCTGGGGGTGCAAGCTCTGGGGTGGGGCTGGGGATGAGGAGTTTGGGGTGTGGGAGGGGGCTCAGGGCTGGGGCAGAGGGTTGAGGTGCAGGGGGTGTGGGTCTGGGGTGGGACCGGGGATGAGGGGTTTGGGGTGCGGGAGGGGTGGGCTCAGGACTGGGGATGAGGAGTTTAGGATGCAGGCTGATCAGGGGCTGCAGTGTGGAGAGAGGACTCTCCCCAGCCCTCTCTCGCCACAGCAGATTGGGGTACAGGGAGAGGTGCCTCGCTGCGGCAGCTCTGGCTGGGCTGGGCCAAGGGAAGAGCTTCTCTCCCCGGCAGTTCCGGCGGGCCTGGGCCAGGCTGGCAGGGAGGCGCTCCTCTCCCCCACCAGAGGCAGGTCTGCGCTGGGGCAGGTGAGGAGGGGCGCCTCTCCCCCGACCGGCCGCAGTACATCTGCGCTGGGGCAGGCAGGGAGGGGCGCCTCTCCCCGGCGCAGCCCTGAGCCCCTGCACGGTCTTAATAGGCATCTGTGCAGCTTAGAGGGAATTTAGGATGGGGCCCAAGTAATATAATGGAAAGAACATCAACACTTCTTTACAGTGTTGATTCTCAGTACGCTCTGAAAATCAGGTCCCTTTCAGGTGTCTCAAGTTGGACACCCAGAATCACTGAACACTTCTGGAAATCTTGGCTTCTAGTTTTTAATAATATAAGGCATTGGAAGTAACACGGACAAAGAAATAACTTTTTTAAATGATCACCAGTCGAATTGTAACACTTCACTAAGTTTTCCATTATAAATCAAATTCACAATAAAAATGAATAATAAACTTTAGGAGTAAAATTTTGTGGGTCTTTTTAACAAAGCATATTAAAAGACAAAAATGCTGATGTGGATACAAGAGTAACAGAAAATCTACCATAATAGAAATATAAAATAAATTGATATGCAGGAGAAGAGTGATACAAGCTTGTAATATTGGAAGACTGAATTTTGGCCTGAACCTTATCCAGCCAGTGGCTTGGAGATGGGATAGAAAACCATGTGTAAGATGAAACTTTGCCCACAAGGTCAACATTGGAGGGAATTCTTTTGCTGAGGGGAAAAATAGATTGTTGGGGCAATAGTGTTCCCATTACTTTCACGAGGACTACATTTATTTTTTTCTAATAGCCAAGAAAATAGCACTGGTAAACGTTCCCTTCTAAGGATAACACTCTTCCATTTGTATGTTGTAATGAAACCTCAAACAAATAGGAAACTACATATACAGTAACTTTTTATTTTTGCTATTCAGGTGTCATTCTGTCTAGAATATTCCTCGCCACTGGCCTGATCTAGTTCCAATTGAATTCAGTGGAACGAGTACACTGACTTTAGCAGGGAAATTCAGCCTCTAACTATAAAATAAGCAAAGGGGGCATATTATAAAAAGGAACACTCCAGTCTGGGGTGGGCTAAAGAGACTCCAGGTCCTTGGAATTTTGTGCCACAGCATCCACTAGGAAAAAGTTAGAGCTGATGGTATATGTTTTTCAGTGCCACACCTACATCCTTCATTATGGCCCTAAATCAGGAAAGCATTTAGCATGTGCTTAAGTAGTTTGCTGGATTGAGGCCTAACACAAGTGCATCAAGAGAACTTGCCCCAGCTGTGTGTTTACAGGTACTATTTTTCTCTCTTTTTGGCTCAGCCAATTACTAATTAATTTTTCATAGGCTGAGGTTTTGATTCCAGAAGAACAGATGGGCAGAAATTAAGAAGCATGAAAGATAAAGCAAGTTAACTTTTTTTAAGAGACCATATTTGAAACTGCAGAGAAAGTATTCTACATAGTCAAATGCTTGTGGAAATCCTGCAGAGGTCACTGTAACATTGTATTTCTACATAGGCAGGGGAAAACAGGCATAAAACACTAAGCTTTCAGATGCTCAACTGCCCCATCTATTACTTCAGCCTTTGTTTTTTCTGCAGTACATTTGGTGCATCACATTTTGACTCTGATCTTATGCCTGGTTTTCAGCCCGTTTGTTAAACATTTGGTTCCATAGTCTCAGTTGTGGCCCCGGCGTTATGATGATTTACAGCAATTGAGGATCTGAGCAAGACAGAGAAATATTTTTCATTGATTCATGAAAGGTGCCAGTTTGACAGGTACCAATCCCAAAGACGGAAGTCTGTTTATTTACGGACAGGTATAATACATGCAGTAGAAATGCAAGGGTTCCCCATGCTGCCCGACCAATCTGTCTTAATCTGGAACTAGAAGAACCAGCTGTAGAGGTCAGGTCACAGTTCTGTCTCTATACCAATTCATTCTTTTGGGAGCCTGCTGTGATTGCCTCCAAGAGTGTTATTGCCATTTGTGCTAGTGCTTTTGTGACATGGTCACTTGTCCATTGAGACCTGTATTCATGTCACATGGGCTACTGAAAATATCTCATACTTCTGAAATTCTGCATGCAAATACACAGTGACAAAAAAACGGTATGCTAGACCATCTATGAAGACTTCAGTAGAATTAGGAACATCATGATATTACTGAGTCAGTTTTTAAAAGGTTATTAGAACTGGATAATTTGACATTTTGATTAAAACAGCAATTTATTTGGTCTTGTGAAACTGTGTTCTTGTGAGAGAAGAAACTAATCTTGAAATGAAAAATATATAAGCATGGTGCTCTGTTTTTTTCTAAATGGGGCTGTGGAAGGCATAAATCATCTTCGTTCACATTTATCAAATAATAAAATTATAGACACTACATAATGAAATGCATTCATTAAAGAGGCACTGTGTAATGAAGCATGCTCTTCATCTCATAAAGCAGCATTTAGTTATATAGTTGAGAAAACACTAAAACTGCCACGTATGTTGCACAATTGGACTGCCTGATCCATTATGGAAGCAATACCCTAATGTTTTGTTCAATGTTATTTAATCTTTGTTTACATGTGTTTTAAGGGCTTAGTGTGCTTTTTGAGAGGGCTGCAAAGTGGTGTAGGTAGTAGAGATTTTTGTAGTAAGAATATTTACTCTTTGTGATTTCACATTTTTATAAGTGCCTAGGAACTTGGATTCATGCTTTTAATAAATGAAGTTGATTTTATATAGCATCAAAAGGGCACATAGAGCTTTAGAGATGTATGAAACAGGGTCTCTGCTTTAAAGAGTTTCCAATCTAAATAGAATAAATATTGCTTTCACGCAGAGCTGACGTGTGGTTCCAAATACCACCAACCATAAATTTAAGTATGGAGATTCTGATTCTTATTTACACAAAGATCACTGTACACCATTCTGGCAGAGTAAAGGGGCCTTAACGTAGATGTAAATTATTTTAAGGCCCCTTTGCATTGTCAGAGTGAAGTAAAGCTGCCCTTGTGCAAATAAGAGTTAAGTCCAGAGCCTCTTACATTCTGCTTTGGGGGAACACAGCACTGCACAAATTCTTATTACGCTGACACTCATGACTATTAACCACATTTCTG